ATATGAAAAAAATGGGAGAAAATACGATTTTATTGGATTTTTTTAGTTCTACATGACAATTAAACGGTCAGTGTCATAATACTGTTTGCTTTTACTGCAATAAAATACACATATTTGTATTCAGCAAAGTCTCACGTGTAAAACAGTACCCCCTATGTACAGGTTTTATGGCGTTTTGGGAAGTTACAGGGTCAAATATAGCACGCTACATTTGAAATTGAAATTCGCCAGATTGGTTACGTTGCCTTTGAGACTGTATAGTAGCCCGGGAATGAAATTTACACCCATAATGGCATACCATTTGCAATAGTAGACAACCCAAGGTATTGCAAATGGGGTATGTCCAGTCTTTTTTAGTAGCCATTTGGTCACAAACACTGGCCAAAGTTAGCGTTAGTATTTGTTTGTGTGTGAAAATGCAAAAAACGCCAATTTTGGCCAGTGTTTGTGACTAAGTGGCTACTAAAAAAGACTGGACATACCCTGTTTGCAATACCTTGGGTTGTCTACTATTGCAAATGGTATGCCATCATAGGGGTAATTTTCATTCTTGGGCTACCATAGGGTCTCAAAGGCAACGTAACCAATCTGGCGAATTTTAATGTGAAAAAATGAAACGCAAGCCTTATATTTGACGCTGTAACTTTTGAAAACACCATAAAACCTGTACATGAGGGGTACTGTTGTACTCGGGAGACTTCACTGAACACAAATATTTGTGTTTCAAAACAGTAAAAAGTATCATAGCAATAATATTGTCCGTTTAATGCTGTTTGTGCGTGAAAAATGCAAAAAACGTCACTTTTACTGGCGATATCATCGTTGTAATACATTTTACTGTTTTGAAACACTAATATTTGTGTTCAGCGAAGTCTCCCGAGTAGAACAGTACCCCCCATGTACAGGTTTTATGGTGTCTCGGAAAGTTATAGGGTTATATATAGTGCTAGCAAATTAAATTCCCTTTACTTTCGGCATGGGTTGTCATGCAGGTCCTGCTAATTGTAATTAATTAAGATACCTAATTATGTAAAAATATTACATAAATATATATGTAGAATCAATATATGTATATATATACGTATGTGTATATATATGTGTATATCTATATAATTTTTTTAAAATATTTTTATTTATATATAGGTATATATATAGTGATATATACGTATATATTTATGTGTATAAATATATATATTATTTCGTTCTATGTGTATTTTGATATATATATATATATATTAATTTCACAATACAGTTAGAACGAAATAACACACATCTATATATTTTTTAATTATTTATTTTTAATTATTTTTGTAATTTTATTTTTTAACGTATTTACATTTTAATTTTTTTTATAATATATATAAATATATATATAACAATAATTATATATATATTTAATCAGTATCAGTGTACGTGTAATTTGATATTAATATATATATATAATTATATATATATTAATAGTAAAATACACCTAGACGGTGTACATGTGTGTATGTATATGTGTATATATATACTTTGATCATATATATATAATATATATATATGATCTAAGTATATATTATTTATTTTTTTACACTATTTATTTATTTCATTTTTATTTTCAGCCAGCAGGGGGACCACCTGTCATTACAGGCAGCCCCCCTGCTGGCAATACAGAAGCCAGCTATCCCCGGCCATGTGATTGTGGGGTCCTCGCTAGGACCCCACTCTCACACGGCCGGGGGGCTTCCTGGAGGACGGTCGTGCCGCGGGGGGCTCCCTGGGAGTCCCCCCCACCGCGATCGCCGGCGTGGGACCGCCGGCGACCGGGTAAGTACAGAAAGACCGGAGGGCGTACTATTACGCCCGGCGGCGTTTAGAGCCGCCTATTAGAGGACGTAATAGTACGCCCTCCGGTCTTAAGGGGTTAAAGGACCACTATAGTGCCAGGAAAACAAACTCATTTTCCTGGCACTATGTAGTCCTTAGGTCCCCCCTCCCCAACCTCATGGCTCCCCTCCCCAACCTCATGGCTACATTTCTCCAGCGCTGCTCCCTCAGCGCTGGTGACCTATTCTCCTCCTGCCGACGTCAGCGCTAAAGGCGCATGCGCGCATTCAAACCGCCCATATGAAAGCATTACTCAATGACGTGAGCGTCTTCTCACTGTGATTTTTCACAGTGAGAATCGCGGAAGCGGCCTCTAGTGGCTGTCAATGAGACATCCACTAGAGGCTGGATTAACCCTCAGTGTTTCTCTGAAACTGCTATGTTTTCAGCTGCAGGGTTAAAACTAGAGGGACCTGGCACCCAGACCACTTCATTGAGCTGAAGTGGTCTGGGTGCCAATAATGGTCCTTTAATTACTTTGCATTGTTTTACCTCTGGTATTGTGATTTCAAAGCCATTAAGTGTTGACTATATCATTTTCCATCGGAACAGTTATTTTCATCAATATATAAATGAAAAACAAAGAAACAACATATAAACAAACTTACATCAACTAGATGTAGTGTTAATATTGTAATTACATATTAGCAATAATTAAGTATTACCACAAATATACGCATTTCCCTCTTCTTATGCACTTAGTTCTTACAAACAATATTAAGGACCACTATAGGCACCCAGACCACTTCAGCTCATGAAGTGGTCTGGGTGCCAGGTCCCTCTAGTTTTAACCCTGCAGCTGAAAACATAGGAGTTTTAGAGAAACTGCTATGTTTACACTGAGGGTTAATCCAGACTCTAGTGGCTGTCTCACTGACAGCCACTAGAGGCCGCTTCCGCGATTCTCACTGTGAAAATCACAGTGAGAAGACGCTGACATCATTGAGTAATGCTTTCCTATGGGCGGTTTGAATGCGCGCTGATGTCGGCAGGAGGAGGAAAGGTCACCAGCACAGAGGGAGCCCGGTGCTGGAGAAAGGTAAGTGGGTGAAGGGGGGCCATGAGGGTGTGGGGGACCTATCGACTACATAGTGCCAGGAAAACAAGTTTGTTTTCCTGGCACTATAGTGGTCATTTAAGATTTAAACATAAGAAGCTATGAGCTAATTGTCAATGTACATTTACCTCAAGAAACACAAAATAGCACCTAATGCAACACAAGACAGCATGCAAACTGGCAACATATTTAACTCCCATGAACAACAAAACTAACCATGTATCTAGTATCAGAGACAACATACTAGATGGGAAGTGTGCGTCTATATTTGGAAAAAAACAATTATAATAAATATTTAAACAAAGGTATAATGAATATTAGGCTTTCCCCAGTAATGGTAAAAATAAATTGTTATACTCTATTTTAGTTTTTTTGTTTGGCTCTTCAATATTTGGCTAGCTATCGGAGTAAGCCCTGCAGGATAGACTGAAAATCTCTTGACTTGCTGGATTTCAGTATCTACAGTAGGGGGTCTCTAATTCATATCATAGAAACATAGAATGTGATGGCAGATAAGAACCATTCGGCCCATCTGGTCTGCCCAATTGTTTTAAATACTTTTATTAGTCTTATAGTTAGGATAGCCTTATGCCTATCCCACGCATGCTTAAACTCCTTTACTGTGTTAACCTCTACCACTTCAGCTGGAAGGCTATTCCATGCATCCACTACCCTCTCAGTAAAGTAATACTTCCTGATATTATTTTTAAACCTTTGCCCCTCTAATTTAAGCCTATGTCCTCTTGTTGTGGTAGTTTTTCTTCTTCTAAATAAAGTCTCCTCCTTAACCCTCTAAACGCCGGGGGGGGGGAGGGGCAGCATAGAACAACCAAACCATCCTATGTACTTACCCGGTCGCCGGTGATCGCGGTGGGGGCTCACCTGGCATCCCCTGCCATGTGATCGTGAGGTAGATAATATATAAATGATCTAAGTATATATATATATATATATATACACACACACACACACACACACACACACATACACTAAGTGTTTTTTAATATTAACATATATATATATAATTATATATATTAATATCAAAATACACAGAATGATATTGATTATATATATCATTATATATATTTATATATAATATAAAATAAATATATATGTAAATATGTTAAAAAATAAAATTAAAAAATAATAAAAAATAAATACATAAATATATATATACACGTGTAATTTCGTTCTAACTGTATTTTAAAATTAATATATATATAGAGATATCAAAATACCTGTGGAACGAAATAAAATATATATATATATACATACACACATAAGCATATACGCTATATATCACATAGCGTAACTTTTGAAAACACCAAAAAACCTGTACATGGGGGTTACTGTTTTACTCGGGAGACATCGCTGAACACAAATATTAGTGTTTCAAAACAGTAAAATGTATTTTAACGATAATGTCGTTGGTGAAAGTGACATTTTTTGCATTTTTCACACACAAATGACACTTACACAGACAATATAATTGTTGTGATACGTTTTATTGTTTTGAAACACTAATATTTGTGTTCAGCGAAGTCTCCTGAGTATAACAGTACCCCTCATGTACAGGTTTTATGGTGTTTTCAAAAGTTACAGAGTCAAATATAAGGCTTGCGTTTCAGTTTTTTCACATTGAAATTCGCCAGATTGGTTACGTTGCCTTTGAGACCGTATGGTAGCCCAGGAATGAAAATTACCCCCATGACGGCATACCATTTGCAATAGATGACAACCCAAGGTTTCGCAAATGGGGTATGTCCAGTCTTTTATAGTAGCCACTTAGTCACAAACACTGGCAACACTTCACAGCCATGGCTCGAGAGAGTGTCGGAGGTCAGTGTGAAGCCAGCAGGGCCCTGCAGAGGTGTATATATATATATATTTTGTTATATATATATATATATATATATATAACAAAATATATACAGTCCTTGCACTCACGCTTATCAGAAATGTTCGCCAGGTGCTAGAAATCCAGGGAAAAATATGTATGTTTCAGGTAGTGATCAGCACTCACGGTCTTGTAAAGTTAAAAGTCCAAAGTTTATTGTAAATCCATTAAAATTCGACCAACGTTTCAGTCCCCACTGGGACTTTCATCAGGATCAGGTATGCTCAGGTCATACCTGATCCTGATGAAAGTCCCAGTGGGGACTGAAATGTTGGTCGAATTTTAATGGATTTACAATAAACTTTGGACTTTTAACTTTACAAGACCGTGAGTGCTGATCACTACCTGAAATATATATGCACATTGAAGGGCTGGGGGCCCGGACACACAGAGCATTACCAGTGCAGTCCGAGTCCCCAAGGACCGCCGGGCCTGTGACAACCATTATGGTTGTCATGCCCTGATGATGGCCCTGAATGTAATTATTGCAGTTTCTCTACAATGATTTACATTGCAGGTTTAAGGGGAACTGAGACAACGCAACCAGACCTCTTCAGGAAGCGTGCCTTTAAGCACACTTACCTGAAGATCACTTCATAATCCTCCAAGAAGGTAGCGGTTATAATCGACTGGATCATTAGTTGAATAGTAACCTAGCAAACACACAACATCCCCAACATGACACACAGTCTAGGAATGCTGCGGCATAATTTGTGATTTTACAGGGTGCATGTGCAACTACCTATGGGCTATATTTTGTAACATTTTACCTCCATGTTAAAAGGATAACATAAAATATCTGCATTTGCTACCAATTTGGCAACCATTGTATGCTACAAATTCAAAGAAATAAGATGGGAACATTATAAAGGTTCCAACAGGGATATTTTGTTTTCCATGGTTTTCAAGAATTTGTTATGCATGTATATAGAATCCATAATACCGTCATAATATGTGAATCCATAATACATTCATATTATATCCACCGTATTACATTACACATGGGTATATTCAACATTTCAAAAACTTTTTATATACCATGCATCAACAATAAATAATAGTAAATTTTGCAACCTGAAAAAAAACTCAGATTTTATCTCTGCTACATAAACAAAAGAGTATGCAATGTTCTAAAATGTAAAATATATCTTATGTTGTGTTTTGACAGCACTGTGTAAATAAAGGATACGGTCTAACATTTCACTAAATATACAAGTAAGTAAAAAGTCTTAAAGGAGCAAAAATAAATAGATGTGTTATTTAAACTTTTTTAGATTACTGGACACACCTGTTTTTTTAATTGAATTGAACATCTCTTAAATTACCTGTAAGGTAGTGCTAAGACAATATGTGTCCTGTGAAGTCATGAATACTGATGATTTTTCTCCAATCAGATGTTTCTTACAGAGAAGCATTAAGGACGCACGGTACATATGCTGCAATTTAATGCTTCACCCTCTGGAATCCGTACACTTTGCATGCTGACACCGGATTTTACAAACATTTAATAAGTTAATCTTTTGTTTTGGAAGCCCATAGTGTCTGTATGATACCCACTAGAAGGGGTGGAAAATTTAAACAGTGAAGTTTTTTTCAGAAAAGCAGCATCGTATTCATTTGCAAAGCGACAGGAGTCTATGCTCCAAAAACACTTTCACATTATGATGAAGTGATTTTGGAACTTAGACTGTCCTTTTAAAAAACTACATTCAAATTGCATGTTTATGCTGACATACTTTCTGGAAAGCATCCCATCCATCTGTTTCAGTCTTGGATTCTTAAGACTGGCAAATATAAGCATTGGAGACATTTATAATAATAGTAATGTGGTGATCAAAGTGTACAAGGAATTATATTTTGAGATTCTTTTCATTCACAAGCATGTCCTGGGTTACAGATGTTATTACCCAACTTAACAGTTATTATTTTACAATCTTCAGAGGGATGAGAGGTGGAGTTGGCCAAGCCCAAAATAAACCCTGCAGCCCTGAAGATTCAACAGGTTTATTTTGCTGTAATTTTCTGGTTGGTAGGGCTATTGAAATACATGAAGAAGCTAGAGAGGGTGGATGAGGCACATTGGGGAGCTGGATGGATAATGATACCCATAGAGTGGGCCCCAGAGCAATTTTCACACCAGGGCCCAGTGGTTTTTATTTTTGCCTTTTGGCCGCACACATTTAATTTCTTTGTTTTACTTGCTTGCTACAGTCAATACAACAGCCAATAGAGTAGGATTTAATCCTGTCTGTAGTGAGCAAGTGTGTCTCAGTGAGCTTGCCAGTACTGAGCATATGTGTGTGTGACAGTGAGCTTGTCTGTAGTATGTGTGTATGTGTGTGTCAGTGAGCTTGCCTGTAGTGAGTGTTTGTGTTTGTGTCAGTGAGCTTGTCTTTAGTACGTATTTGTGTGTGTTTGTCAGTGAGCTTGCCTGTAGTGAGTATGCATGTGTGTGTCAGTGGGCTTGTCTGTATGTGTGTGTCAGTGAGCTTGCCTGTAGTGAGTATGTGTTTTTGTGTCAGTGAGCTTGTCTGTAGTATGTGTGTGTGTGTGTGTCAGTGAGCTTGCCTGTAGTGAGTGTTTGTGTTTGTGTCAGTGAGCTTGTCTTTAGTACGTATTTGTGTGTGTTTGTCAGTGAGCTTGCCTGTAGTGAGTATGCATGTGTGTGTCAGTGGGCTTGTCTGTAGTGAGCATGTGTGTGTCAGTGGGCTTGTCTATAGTGAGCATGTGTGTCTTGGTGATCTAGTCTGTAGTGCGCATGTGTGTGTGACAGTAGGTTTCTCTGTAGTGAGCATGTGTGTGTGATAGTGAGCGTGTCAGTGAACTCGTCTAAAGGGAGCATGTGTGTCAGTGGGCTTGTCTAAACTGAGCATGTATGTGTATGTGTGTCCGTGAGCTTGTCTGGAGTGAGCATGTGTGTCAGTGGGCTTGTCTAAACTGAGCATGTGAATGTGTGTCCGTTAACTTGTCTGTAGTGAGCATGTGTGTCTTAGTGACCTTGTCTGTAGTGAGCATATGTGTGTGACAATGACCTTGACTGTAGTGAGCATATGTGTGTGACAATGACCTTGCCTGTAGTGAGCATGTGTGTGTGATTTCAAGTCTCAAAGAATGTAATAGTTTTATTTACAAACACCTCACCAAGGCAAAAACTAATTGGGGTTCAGTTACAGTATATGATCATTGCATAAGCCTGCCACAACGTCAATGTAACCCATTCTTGGCAGGTCCTACTCTAGCACCCAATGACTGCTCTTATGAGATTAATCCACTTACTTGGGAAATGCGTCCTTTTGGGACTTTATGCAGGTCAAAGTTAAATAGGATCCTTGAATTAGGTACCTGGGACAAGGAGAGGTGCAAAACCGGGGAATTGGCCTGGACTCCCAAATATATATATGAAACCAAGAGGCTGCACTCACCTGAACATGCATACTTATTAGGGTGCTGCTGGGGCCAATTCATACAACATACAAAATCCAGTACGCTTATTAATTCACTTTCATGCAATTTCAAGGGGTACATTGATGTTGTGGCAGGATAATGCAATGTGTGATCATATAACTATATCTAAACCCCCAATATTTTTTGCCTAGGTGAGGTGTTTTTAAATAAATCTATTACACTCTGTGAGACTTAAAATTGCTGATTATTGAATGAGTGAGTGCGCTGGATCTTGTAAGTTATATGAATTGGCCCCAGCAGCACCCTTACAGGAGGGGAAGGGGCTAAAGACAGCACAGGAGGGGGACTAATGAGGGCACAGTAGGGGAGGACAAATAACGGCATAGGAGGGGAGGGGGCTAAAGAGGGCACAGGAGGGAGGACAAAGAAGGGCACATGAGGCGAGGGGGAACAAAGAAAGGGACAGGAGAGGAGGGGGATAAAGAGGGCACTGGAGGGGGACAAACAAGGGCACAGAAAGGGAGGGGGCTAAAGATGGCACAGGAGAAGAGGAGGCAAAGGAAGGGGGAGAAAGACACACAGAGGGCCTGGGCGCACAGAGAGACACACAGATGGTCTTAGGGGGGCCAAACTGCTAGAGAGACCCCTCTCCAGGGAATATTTGACTCAACTGTATAACAAACAAATTTGTGCAATAAATATTCTTGAAAATATTTTTTTAAATTGTCGGTGGCGGGGCCTGACTCCCAAGAGAGCTGGATGTGTTTTACACTAGCTCCAGCACTTGGGAACAAAATCCGACTATTAGCCATTGTAGCGGAATGGATGCGCTAGCTACTCTTTTATTCCCTTTTGTTCGACTGTCCATACACCCCCCACTTGTTTACCGAACCAACTGTGGGTCCCCAGATTTCTTTTGTATTTTGGTCAACACGTGCCCATTATTAGCGCAGGGTATGTTGAATGTATTGCTTGTCTCTCCCCCTCCCCCTTTTTTCCTGTCCTATTGTTTTCCCAGCAGGGCGTTGTTCCAGGGACACTGCCAGACCAGTTTAAACTAGCTGCTTTGTCCCTCCTCAATCTCCCATCAGCCTTTGCTATTGTCTAACCCCACCTTCCTTATACTACAGGGAGTGCAGAATTATTAGGCAAATGAGTATTTTGACCACATCATCCTCTTTATGCATGTTGTCTTACTCCAAGCTGTATAGGCTCGAAAGCCTACTACCAATTAAGCATATTAGGTGATGTGCATCTCTGTAATGAGAAGGGGTGTGGTCTAATGACATCAACACCCTATATCAGGTGTGCATAATTATTAGGCAACTTCCTTTCCTTTGGCAAAATGGGTCAAAAGAAGGACTTGACAGGCTCAGAAAAGTCAAAAATAGTGAGATATCTTGCAGAGGGATGCAGCACTCTTAAAATTGCAAAGCTTCTGAAGCGTGATCATCGAACAATCAAGAGTTTCATTCAAAATAGTCAACAGGGTCGCAAGAAGCGTGTGGAAAAACCAAGGCGCAAAATAACTGCCCATGAACTGAGAAAAGTCAAGCGTGCAGCTGCCACGATGCCACTTGCCACCAGTTTGGCCATATTTCAGAGCTGCAACATCACTGGAGTGCCCAAAAGCACAAGGTGTGCAATACTCAGAGACATGGCCAAGGTAAGAAAGGCTGAAAGACGACCACCACTGAACAAGACACACAAGCTGAAACGTCAAGACTGGGCCAAGAAATATCTCAAGACTGATTTTTCTAGGTTTTATGGACTGATGAAATGAGAGTGAGTCTTGATGGGCCAGATGGATGGGCCCGTGGCTGGATTGGTAAAGGGCAGAGAGCTCCAGTCCGACTCAGACGCCAGC